ATATATATATATATATATATATATATATATATGATTTTATGATAGCTGCATAGAAAAAATGGGAGTAAAGCGCAAAAAAAAAAGTAAAACATCAGTTAGTTCAGTTCACTTAGAAGCCTACTTATTGTCTCATACTAAGACTTCCAGTATATTTTGTCAGCTTATATGCTTACATTAATAATAAGAATAATAATAGTGATAATAATAATAGTAATGATGATAATAATAATAGTGATAATAATAATAATAGTGATAATAATAATTATAATAATAATATTAATCATAATAATAATGCTTTATACTTAAGTCATTATTATTACTGTCAGCGTATATCAGTAGTAAATGATATATTGCTGCTTGGTAGAGATGATGGCTAAGAACCTAAAGCACATGCCTCAGTCTTGCCAGTTCTTAAACTTGGACTCTAATGTCTAATTAAAGCATAAAAGTACTGTGAAAAACCACAGGTTTTCAGAAAAACCTTTGCGAGCATCCTGAACTTTATGGTGGAAAGCTCTAGAAAAGTGCATTTGTGCCAAATGTATCGGTCACAATAGCGCTTTCAAACAATCTGAAGTCTGTATCTTCGAAAGAAAATTAGACTCTGGGAACTGAACCAATCAAGCAATCTATATCTATCAATCTAAGAAACAACCGCAAGTTTTCTAGGATTCAGAAAATTTGTTTTTGTTTATCATAAAGCTAAAAAAGTGACTATTCTATAGCCGATATATTTCGGCAAAATGATACATCGTTGTGTACACTGATGTTTTTGTATCTCCCACAGCAGTTGATTACGTGACCATTGAAAGATTCTTCGTTACTGGAGACGAACGGCATCACGTAGCAAGGGTAGGTGAAGGTTACTTGAATAAAGTCTAGTAGAGCCATATAAAAACTGATCACAGCTCCCACTAGAACAATCACTGAAATAATTTAATTTTAAGTTTTTTTTTTGCAAAAGTTATGCAAAGAAATTGCAGAATGTTAAGGAAATATAAATCCTTTATTCAGGTTGTAAAGTCACCTTGCTGAAAGTGTGACTTTTTTCACTATTCATTATAGTAAAAAAGCCTTCGCTCTTTTATTTGAATCTGGATGTATGCGTAAAGAGCTACCGAAACGTAATTTAAAAAATACTTTCTGATCGAAAACAGATAAGATCACCTTACCCATGATTAAAAGATGCCAGCATAACCTGACTTTTGGCGTTCGTTGAATAACTCTGGAAGAATACTCAATGATAACGTAATGTAATGTAACGTCTGCTAAATACAAAAGAAGAAAAATTAAGGTCCACAAATTGATCCGGGCTGCATTCGTTTTTAAAAGCTTTTTATAAGTTGAGAAACAGCTAACCTTCAGAATTTATCATAAAAGTTTTTGATATTATTCTTCTTTATCAATAGCCTTTTAAGCAAAAGTTATTGATTTTATTCACAACTACTTTGAAAAAAACTTTAATTTTGAACAAAAGCGTATTTTTTGTTTTTACTTTTGTGCTGCAAGGTCGGCACTTACTCTTTAATAGTCGGCCGAATATACTCTTTTGTCTTCTCATCATACTTAGCAGCCTTGAACCACATATTGAATAAACACGGCAAAAATACGCAGCAGGGAGGAATCGTAGTGCACCCGAACAAGTCCATCAATGAGGTGAAAACAGGGATTGATAACGCCACGAAAAGTGCAGCGGCTAAGACACACGTGCGAATGACAAGTCTTTTTAGACAGAATTCTAAATTGTACAATACTGTATTCCAAATAATGCTCTGATAACTTTTGAACAACTACAGAGATTTATTTATTTAAAGAAACTTTTTCTGCTTTCACCTCCAAAAAAAATAAAAAATAAAAAAAATTTAAGTTTCGGAGTAAAAAATAAAAATTAGAGCGGAAAAAATTTAATGAAAAATCAGTTTTGTAATTTTGAAATTTTAAACTTTTTTATGCACACAGTTATATACTCAACTTATGAACTCAGCTTTTTTATCAAAAGAATAGATGTGCGTTTGAGCGCATTTTGATAATTAAGGCTACAAGCAGTGAAATAGCACAGTTTTTGAACTAGATTTACATCTATAAAAAACTTAAATGAATAGAATTAAGTAATGCAGATAAGTGAAACTCATTTGAAAACTGCTAATAAAAGTAAAATTCAAGTATGAGTGCGCTCAAGACATCGTTGCATCAAAAATAGAAAAGGTTGAACGACTGCATTAGCCAATTTTTTGTTTTTTGACGTTTTTATACAGATATTTTTAAAAAAATACTTACTGTGTGGAGCCTTAAAAATTTTTTCAACTTGCTGGTTTACAGGATTGACAGTGATTATCATCGTTAATATACAGTGAAAAGCTATTGAGAGATCTGCTGCATATCGTATCCAAGGAATTTGTACAGAATCAATTACAGACTCGTCCATACTGTCTCCGTAGGTAACGTACGCAAATATAGAAATTGGTATATATAAAATTGAGACCACTGAAAACAAAGTTACTCTGATAATCGAAAAAACGATCTGTCATAAAAAGTAAAAATAAAGCAAACGACCCTCTTGACAGAAAGCAAAAGAACTAACTAAGAAAGCCGAGAATTACTGATTTTGTAAAGTCTTTCGGATTTTTCATGTCATGCTGGATAGTAGGTAGGACTGTATGTCCGCTGAAGGCGAAGATAAAGGTGCCAAGAGTTAGAAGAGATTTTAAAAATGAAAATTCAGGATAATGTACATCTGAGGTGCAGTCTTTGAAATCAATTCCTATACTCACTATTACCATGATTACTGCAGCTATAGTGAAAATCATAGCCAGTACAACTAACCACCTGAAAAAATCTTGTAGCAAAGATAAATCTAGAGTTTAAATCACAGATGAGAATAGTTTGGTGCTATTAATTTTCTAACTATTGTGACCTTTAACTGTAACTTTCAACAGGTAACATCTTATATATTATAAAGTGATGTCCTTCTGAAAATCATATTTTTTGCCTAGCACAGTGAAATTCATACAACCAAAAATTCCACATAGAATTCAAAAAGAACGTAGTAAGGTGTTTTTTCAAGTTTTTGTATTACACAATTTAGAAAAGAATAGAATTTTGAAAAAGACAACTTTTTTTACGATTATTAGCTTATTTAGCGGTTTTAATAAAATATTAAAATAAGAGAGACTTAAGGTCTCAAAAAGTAGTAATTCTAATAAATAAAGATAGAAGTTTGAGCAACCAAAAAACTTTTAAGAAAACCCTGCTCTGATTTTTACTAAAGAACTAAAGATAACATAAAAGTTTTAGAAAGAAGTAATTATTTTTGTAACAGGCTTACTTAACTGATCTAAAATAATGCTGAAAACGATATGAAAGTGCAAATCAAAAACGACAATGAAAAGACTTTCTATTAGTACCGTCGAGGTATCAGTATATTAAAGAAACAAAGCTATTAAACTAACCAGAAGTCTGCGGGAGACTTCAGTAACGTTACTGGAAATATACAAACTGTAACAATGACAAGCATCCAGCAAAAGCTAATGTTAACTTCGAAATACGCTACAAAATTGTGAATAATCCGTGATGACAACAATATATACACAACAGTTGTACCAAAGTTGTTAAAGTTCACACAAAAGTGAGCAAAGTTTCTGAAAAAGTAATTTCAGATCTTAATACTTCCCAACTGTTTGCTTTTAAAATTTTTTTCAATTTTTATTTTTCTTCATTGTAAAAACTTATAGCTTCTAAAACAAAGCTCAGACATTAGAGACCTAAAAAATTATTTGTTGTGCAGTGCTAACAATTCGAATGCTATATTACTAACCTAACTCGAGTTCCCATACTTCTATATGCCATTTGAGGATAAGGATTACGACAGTGCTCGCGATACACAGGCCATCTTTCCTGCATGATAACCCAGTTTTCTCCAAGTAAATTTCCAGTGTATGATAGGAATATACATATTGCTATCATAAAAATAATGCCAACTTCAAGACCTAAAAACCTACTATTACATATAAAAAATAAACTTGATAGTTATCTTTCTTACCAAAAAACTCATAAAAAGGTGTCGTGTTTTTTGTGATGACACTCAGTATTCAACGGCAATGCCAAATAAACAATTTTTCTCTTTGACTCCTCAAACTGACTTGTTTCCTGAAGTTATTGCAAAAGAATAAAAAATAAATGAATAACCCACAGTTGTTCTATTTTCTGTAATAACTTTTCCAAAAAAATTTTTATTTTGTGAAAATAAAAACTACAAACCACTCAAGAGGAAAATTTTACATAATATTCTGAGAAAAATCTCGCTAAATTTTCTTGGTTTTTCAAGGAAAAGTTACACAACTTAGCAGCTTATAAAAGTTTGGTTAAATGGTAAGGTAAACCTGATTGTAGCTTATATTTTAGCTAAAGAGGCCGCATATTGAACAGTTTCATAAAGTACTCTTAGCTTGAATAACTTGCCATTAAAAAATCCCGAACACTTTACTAAGTTCAAATAGTACTCTTACTGCCCATTTTTTTTTTCTTAACACTTCTGCATTCTTTCTTGCTTTCCAAGCTCTTTCATTAAGAAAATGTTACTTTTTTTTTGTCTTATCTTGTCAAGTAAATCAAGGAGGTAATCGATAAGCAAGTAGAAAAACTATAAATTTCCATTCTTGTTATTTCTTGGTGTTAAGATGATGCATTTACAATCAGAAGTAACAAATAAAAAATTAAGACTTTTTGCTAGAAACATTAAAATCTTTTTTACCATAGCACTTTGGTCCCCACTTTTTCATCTTTGTAAGTCTCCTCTTTTTTGTTGAACAAGAAGTAAAATTTGAAATTCAATAACACAATAACTTTTATTTGTCTGTCCTCATTGCATAACTAGGCGTTTTTGTGTTATTTCTGCTTAATATGTAATAATGATAGGTTTTCTAACGAAATAAAGAGTAAAATTAGCAAATTTGTTCTACGAATAGGTGATGTGAAGGTCACAGAGTTATTACTACTTTTTGGTCGACTTTATAGAGCGACCAAGAAAGCAGAAAAAAAAAGCAATTAGCTTAGTCGATTTAAATGAGCAAACTTGTTTTTTGGAGTTTTCATTTACTTAGTCATTTAAAAATGAACAAGCTAATTAGCAAAGTTTAGAGGAACTGTTGCTGCAAATCATCTTATCCTATACCGGTTAATATTTATCGATAAAATAACAGTAAGGAACCTTACATTTATTTAGAAAAATGTGGAAAGTCAGTCGAAATTTCTGGAAGTTTTATGCAGACCAACCGGCAAAAAAGTGCTTAGAGCGACGTTTCCAGTGAGTTAGAATACAATATAACTGAATCAGGCAATCAGACAGAACCATATGTTAAGCGTTTTTTAAGTTATTGGTTTACTAAAAGAGGTGAAATATGACAAAGATCAAACATGATTTAGCAAACACTTTGTATTGCCCATGTCAATAGTATGAGTTTAAAGAGTATTCTAGAGAACAGCGAATCTCAAGTTAGGTTCTATAACTTTCTTAGCAGTTGAGGTTTAAAAAAACTTTAATGAGAATTTGCATACCAAAAGAGTATTTGTGAACAATTTAATAGCATTTTTAATCCAATATATTTTCCTTCCAAGTATTTATTAAATTTCACAGAAAATACGTAGCAAAATACCCCACCAACAACTATGCCGCATTCACTGCAAATTCACGGTCGTCAAGTCAAGCAAAAAAGCGATGAACAAACTTTAGTCCGCAGCAAACTTCCGCTTTTCAACTTTATAAGGATGGTTAAAACAAATACAAAGCGTAGAAGAAAAAACCTTGTTTGCTCCTCTATCTGCATAAAGAATAAATTCTTCATTAAAAAGTCATCGTTACTGTTTTTAAACCAAAAAGTAAATTTAAGATTAAAGTCACCCGCAATTACAAAACCGTCGTACATTTCGAAAAAAAAGTTCAGCAACGCGCAATAACTGATTAACTTAAAGGTGTAAAACAGTAGAATAAACTGAGTTTTTCAATTTATTAATAAAATTTTTCTTCCCTTCTCGCCATCGTCACTGTATGCATCTTAAAATTAAAAGAATTTCAAAGGCTGTAGAGGGCAAATGCAATTCCAGTAAAACTATTAACACTTTATGAAGTGTTTTCAGTAGCAATAATCATCTGATATTTGTGTAATACTAACAAAATCATAAATGAAGGTAACATTTTCTCGCAAACTTTTAAAGACTAAACAAATCAGATTAAGCAACAAAATTTATTTTGCATTTACGATTGCTACGAGAGACTTAAAAACGAACGATAAAGAAGTTTCATAATGACGGCGGGTTATAGAGGCTTTACTATACTAAGTCGTAAAAAACTTGGTCATTATTCTATTAATTGCAAATGCAAATATCTGTTTCTTATTCTCTTGCTAAACTTCCATTTTTTTTCAACTTAATCTTTACTATACAACACTTCTCTTTTTAAGAACACCATTCTTTATTACTTATTACTTTACTCGTTTAGCACAATGACAGTTAAAAACGCCATCATATTTGTAAAGTATAAAACGACAAAATAAGAGCAAATAAAATTTGGATTCAGATTATTGAAACTAAAAATTATTTAAAAATGATTCAAGCTTTTGAGAAGTGCTCAATAAGCAGACGATTAAGCCAAAGCTGCAATTATCAATCCAAATGACAAAGGCACTTTTTTAAGCAAAAGAAGGAGAATTGTGAGATCTAATAAACACACAACACTTCTACACGCTAACAAAAGTTTTGATTTCCTTTATTTTTCTCAACCAACCTTACAAAAAACTATTATTTAAACGCCTTTTAAGCCATTAAAAATAGTAAAGGCAAATAACGTCTTTTTTAAAATTTGCTTTTGTAAGTATAAAGAGCGCTAACTTGTTAAGATTATGAAGAGCTCTTTGAAAGTTATAAATAGCCAGCAAAATTTTGCTTGATAAAAAATTAATAAAAGTAAGGTAAAAAAAATAATTGGCTAAAGCGGACAAACTTCACAAATAGAGTTTTTTGAAAAAATGACAACTTAAAGAAGAATAACGACAGAATTACAAAAACTTTTCTCAAAAAATACTATAAAAACTTGCCTCTCTCTTTCAAAGTGACACAAAAAACAAAACAGTGGTTTTGAAGGTAATTTAGAGCAACATAAAATTTGAAAACTTTTAACTGACCTGTCTTATTAAAAGCTACAGGCATGGCAACGACACCACCACCAACAAGATCTGCAACGATGAAAAAACCGGTCACTGCCCAGCCCAAACCATGAAGATTACCCGAAAACGACTGTTTTTCAGCTTTTTCGCCATCCATCTAAAACACCAATAAAAAGAGTAAAAACATTAATTCAAGACTGAATTAATTTTGCCAACTCTGAATTTGATACAGCTGATATCTGACAAAGTAACATTCAGACCGGTAATATAATCAGAAACTCATACAGATATTCTTCAATCAACTTCTAATTGAGAAAACTTAAGAGAATTGGAGAAACCGTGAAATTAAAAACACATTAAAAAGAGCAAGAGCAACAAATAAAATAACCCAGTAAAAAGTTTTTTGGTTGAAAAATTTTATTGTTATCAATGTGTTTCAAAAGTTTTAGCAACAAAACACGAGAAAATTTTTTTTTTCGATGAGAAAAAAACATTTTAAGTTCATCATTCCTCCTCAACATGAATCAAAACCAGATTGAAATACCGTAGCAAACCTGTAGGTTCAATACTCTCATTTTTTCTTAAACACAAAACAGACCAATTTTTTCAAATTTTTCAAAAGGTCGCGTTATTTGTTCTTTTTCTTTTCTCATAAATACAGAAAAGAGTTCTATCTTAAAACAAATAAACAAAGATTATCTGACTGCAACTAACTTCGTTATTTAATTTACACTTAATGAAGCATAGACTTTCAGTAATGAGGAAAAGCAGTTTTATCAAAGCACCTCAGCTTTACAGTCATAAACACTGATACAACTATAGTGATCACCAAAAGACTTAAACAGCTTGCGCTAAAAGATATTTTTGGTGAATTGATAAAGAGCTTTAAAAAATTTAATACTACGACATAATTTTATAAAAATTGATAAATTTTTAATGCAGCTTAATTTATGACGCCAAAAGCGAAACAATAAACATAGTAAATTACCAGTTTGAAACTTTACCTTGAAAACAAATACCAAAAAAGAAAAAAAAAGTAATAAGTAACAAAGTCTTATTTTTTTAATCAACCCTTAAAAAAACAAATCAATGCATAACAACATTTTTCTGATTTATAAAAAGCAAAAAAAATTTTTAGCTAAAACAATACTGCCAAAGTAAAAAAAAAACGCATAAAGCTGTACCATCGAACAGCGGACACTTAAAAAATTTAGCGTCTCCTATGTTATTTTGGTTAATCAAACAAAGCACGACAAAAACACTTAAATCTTATATCAAAATATTTGTTTTTTTCCACACAAATATACTTTTCTCTACACTCCTTTCCTAACGTCTAGAAGCAAAACCGTAACAATGAAATAAATACAAACAACCTATAGATAAAAAAAAGCGGAAGAAATCCAGAAACTAAGTGCTACCAAGATTCAGAAGGTAAAAACTGGTCAAAAAAAAGAAGAATCCTGAAGTAACAACTAATCAATGCCAATCAGATCGGACACTGTTAATTTGCGGAACATTTAACGCTCGACTGATTTTCCGTATTAAAAGAGAGGAAGGGGACAAACCGGAGTGGCAGTAAGAGGGGAGGGGATTCGGTGAAAGCGGGCGGGCAGTAATTTCGTGTAGACAAGAAAAAACAAAGAACAAAAGCGACAGTAATTTCAGAAATATAATTAGCAATTACCCTGAGGCAAACTAAAATTTTCTTTTTTTTATAAATTAATTTTTTCAAGTTATGGTTAACATTCTTTAATTTTTGCCACAATTACCTATCAGTTGGTTTGTTTTTTCTACTCTATCGTCAATTTATATAGTTATATGTACAAATATATTCATTTACTTATTTGTATTCCAATTATATTTATATTTCTATTTATATGTCAAATCATTTGTTTATGTTTTTGTTTGCTTTTTTTCACTTCGCAAAATAATATTATTTAGCAAAATTTTTCAAAATTTTTCTTTCTGTTGAATTTTATTATCAAAAAATTATTATCAAAAAATTTTAATAAAATTTCCTTTATTTTTTTTTTTTTTGGTTATTTATATAATTTTTTTTTAAATTTTTCAATTCTTTATTTTTGTTTTTAACGGATCTTTAACCTACCCTTAAAATTTATTTTTTTTTTTTTTTTTAGCAGTGCAAGTAATTTTTGAAGTATTGCAATTGAAATAGTTAAACTTTCTTTTTCAGATAGTTTAAATTTTGGATGTATTTTATTGTTCAGTGTTGCTTTCTTTACTGATGCTTTCTTTTTCTGCATCATCTTCAAAAAATCTGTTTTTAACCAAAACCAATTGTTATTTATGTGTTAACTGAAGAAAAAAAAATTTTTTTTTTTTGAAGTAATGGATACAGTTAAATGACGTAAACAGGTCGTAAAAAAATTTTTTAAAGATATCATATTATGCAGATTATCAGTTAATTTCAGATGGTAAGTATCATGAAATTTTGATTTACCTTGCATATTGAGAAAGAATTATCAGTATTTTCACTTGAACGTATCATCACTGAACAATTACTCGAAGATTTGTCAAGTAAATAAACGTATTACATCTTTTTTCGTGCCGAAAAATTTATGTGATGAAAGTTTTGTCGCTGACATTATTTGGATACGTGTAATTAAACTAATTTTTTTACCGTTTCTTCTCTTATTTTTGTTAGATTGTTTTTCGCTTACTGTTTTAAAATAGTTCAAGTTTTATTGCTTTTTCCTAGTTAGTACACAACTTGAACATTATTGACATTTGAATTCGTTTTTTAAATTCTGTGTCAGTAAATGTAGCAAAACCGTCGTGCTAATAAGGATGATAAAAAGTTTAAAAATATGGTTTAAATAGTAATAATTTTTCAGTAATAAAAAAAAAAAACAAGGCAAATTGCTTTTGTAAAATTGTTAAATAACACTAGTTAAAATGTAAAAAATTGTCGACGCACATAATCGGTTGTTGCTTTCAGTTTATTCAGTTGTCATCTTAGGTTCCAACTGAATTATTAAAATTAAGCTGTAGAAAAGCAGCAGAAAAATGATATGGAACGCTTTTAACAGAATGGTGAATACTGGTTAACAATGTTGGAACTAACATTAATTGAACAGGTTATTGAAATGTGCTGAAATTTTTACTGCTTCGCAAATATTGATAAACATTAATTGTGTAACGTTGTTAGATTGATCCACAAAAATTTGAAACTTACCGACACGTCACTAAACAAATTGATTTTACTAGAAAAAGTAAGTTTATTGACAGGAGTAAAATAATTATATGCCTTATTTTTAAAATTTTAATGTACATGTTTCGGAAAAGATTTTTAAATGGAATTAATGTTTACATACGTTATCATGTCTAAAAACTTCAACTCAGAGTTGCTTAAAATGTTGTAATAATTATAAAAATAACTTACACTAGCTTTTTTTACTTAAGGCAGCACTGTTTTTCTTCAATTATCTCACTGTAGATTATTGAAACTATAGATTGATATATTATTAATGATATAAAAGGAAAATGATACGCAGAAACATTCTGTTCTCATTTTTATGGATATCTTTTAGTTTGCAGTTTTTAGATATAATGACTAAGAGTTCGGTAAAGACAATAAAGACACTTTTTTCTCATATTTATTTTTTCGAGAGTTTTGAAAGTTGTTGTTTGCAAGATTTTTGATTCAATCACGAACGAGATTTAGTGCGTTTAGTTGTCGTACAACGTTAATGACGTTACTGACAACTGGCCTGCCTGCAGAAAAGCAAAAAAACAACTGCATATAACTTTCTCAGCTTCTGTATTTAAAATTAGACTTTAAGCCAAATTTATCTTTTATTTTTCTCATAATTTTTATTAAGTAAACGCTGCGGCACAAAAAAATTTTTTTATAAGCTTCAATGAAATCATTTTTTTTCGTACTAGATTCTGTGTTGAACAGCTCACATTAATAGTAAATTTAAAAAAATTGTTGTTTTATTTTCATGTAAAAACTTTTTCTAACTTTTTTTTCATTTTCTTGTGTCTTTGTATTTCTCAAACAGTTTAATGACGACTGCTGGCTGCGTTGTTTGATATAGCTCAAAGCTACTTAACTTTTTTGAAAAAGATAGACAAAACGAGTAAAAAAACAACTTTATAAAGAAATGTTTTCTATTGTTTTTGTCAGCAGAAATAACAAGACAACTGCACGCAGCAAAACATCTGTAAGTTTGTGGGTATGTAACAAAACCTGTCAATTCAGTTTCTTGATTGGTTTAAAAAAACCGTTTATTAAGAGTGGTGTCAAAAAGTGTTAATGTCGTTGGTTGAATAACAATAATTTCAGTTCTCAGAGGAACTTGCTTGAAAAAGAGTCGTAGAATTTTCCAAGTATTTAGAAATAATAATGATAACAATAACGATATAATAATAATAATAATAATAATAATAATAATAATAATGACAATGATAATAATAATAACAATAACAATAATTTGAGAGCGAACTGAAAAATCAAAGTTATTTTGAGCGAAAAAGATAAGGCGTTTTTATTCTTCCAAAAGACATATAGAATTATAGGGTAGGAAAAAGAATCTAGGATTATTTTTCACATATTTTCGGTCTTGTATGGAGTCAATACGGTGCATTAAAAAGCAGCTTAAACGTATGATAACAGTTTATCAAAGAACAAATGTTAACATGTGAATAAAGAAAGAGTAATTTTTGAACAGCGAACAAATAAAGCAGATTATGAAAAAAAAAACAAAATTGAAATAAACAGGCTTGATTGTCATTGTCAACTGATAAGTAAATAAAAAAAATTTGTCTTATTGATTACACCCTTTGTTTATTGTTTGCCAGAAACGTCACTTTTTTTTTACCACCTCAGTTAAACTTTGGCGATAAACCAAACTTTATAGGCTTGAGATAAAACGGACTCTGAAACAGTAAGATGTTCTTTTGGCTCAGCAGACAATCACACTTGACAGACTGCATATGCATTTAGATGATGACTTGTGCATTACAGCAAAAAATCAAAATTCAATTACTAAAAAACTCAATAGTTAGTTCTTTTGAGATGTATAAATAATAAATAAATTCTGCACTTTGTAAACTTTATCTGCTCTCTTTTTTGACAGTTAAACAAATTATCAGTGTTCCTCTGAAATAGTGTTACAATTAATTTTAAAAAAA